TCAGGCCAGAAGTTCGAGACCAGCCTGAGCAACATGGCAAAACCCCATCTCTACTAAAAATACAAAAATTAGCCAAGTATGGTGGTGCAGGATCCCAGCTACTCGGGTGACTGAGGCACGAGAATTGCTTCAGCCCAGGAGGAGGAGGTTGCAATGAACCAAGATGGCACCACTGCACTCCAGCCTGGGCAACAGAGTGAGACTCTGTCTAAAAAAAAAAAAAAAAAACATATTTAAAATTATACACTAAAAACCCAGAATACATTCAAGGCCACCCCTAAGTGGAAAAAACAAAACAAAACAAACAAACAAACAAAAAACACAGAATGCACAGAAATCTAAACAGTAATTTGGGTGATGAGACTGGCAGTTCTTTTTGGTCTTTACTTTTATAGGTCTTCATTTCTACAGTAAGCACATGACTATTAGGATAAAAAAAGAAATTTGGCCTGGTGTGGTGCTGTAATCCCAGCACCTTGGGAAGATTGCTTGAGGCCAGGAGTTCAAGACTTCCCTGGGCAACATATCAAGGCCATGTATCTACAAAAAAAAAAAAAGAAAGAAAGAAAGAAAAAATTAGCCAGGTGTAGTGGTACATGCCTGTAGTCCTAGCTATTTGGGAGGCTGAGGTGAGAGGAACACTTGAGCCTGGAAGCTGGATGCTGCAGTGAGCTGTGATCGCATCACTACACTCTAGCCTGGATGAGAGTGAGACCCTGTCTCAAAAAAAATTGTGGTGATTCACACCTGTAATCTCAGCACTTTGGGTGGCTGAAGTGGGAGGATCCGTTGAGGCGAGGAGTTCAAGGCCAGCCTGGGCAATATAATGAGACCCTGTCTCTACAAATTTTCTAAATTAAAGAAGTTTTAAGATAACCAAATACTACATAGAAATATATTTAAAATATTTATTACATAAAGATAAACCAAATAGAAGTAGAAATAATGTTATGCTCTACTTTATATGACCAAAACTAGAACGTAATATCTGAAAATGAAAATAATTATATTAGGAAGGTAGAATTGTGGATTCTTTTTGTTTGTTTGTTTTCTTTTCATTACATTTTTAGTTTAGTCTTTGTATATAGATTTTAGTTTATTGGAGAAAGTATATAATGTGCTCTATTAATCTTTAAATCATAAAAATATAAATTTCAAGTAATTTAATTTCCAATAGTTACCTGACTTGCCTTCAATGGGAAATAAATATTTGCTTTTTGTTTTGTAAACAGATATTTGTTGGCACCTAGCACATGATTTTAAAAGTACAGTGGAAATATATATATTTATGTCTTAAAATTAAAACTATAAAGTTATGTAACTGGGAAAGGAAAAATAATTCATTCAAGATTGTCTGTCATCTTAGTATTGCAACAGTGTTAATACTAGCATATAGTGAAATGTGTATCCAAATGTAGTAATGGGTTTCGTTTTCTTTGTTACCCAGCAAAACTGTTCATTGTAGGATCAAACTCTTCATCATCAACTAGAAGTGCAGTTGACATGGGTAAGTAAAAACTGAACTTTTTATCTTAATAGTGGACTTTAAATTAGTATAAGTGTATTAGTTATAACTTGTGTTTAGGTTCAGGTAGAAAGAAAATGAGTTGATTCCAATTTTACCTTCTAAAGTTCTAGCCTAATTTCTTAAGGCTTCTATAAAATCATAGTGACTTAGGTATGGTCATATTTTGATATGCAAGAGGAATGTGAAAGGTGTAACGTAGTTAAATATTCACTGTCTGTTTGGAGATAGAAGTTCTTAATCGTATTCTTAGCTCTTTTAGTACTATAGGTGAAATATAAAAATGAACAATGGCAAAAAAAAAATCCAAATATTTTATATCTATTTTTAGCACTTAGGTTATTGTGATATTAAAGTTATTCAATACTTTTAAAAATTATTCCGTGTTTACATATATTGAAAACGTAAATGACTGGCTCTTTAATATAACTTTAGAATGAATAATCATTTAAAATAAGCTCTTAAATTATTTTTACAGAAATTAAGAAATTATGTATCTTTATAAATGTGGATTAAGACCATACATTCAGTTTTCCAGTGTCTCAAGCTTATTCTTTGCTGTGACTACCAGTTACAGAATATTGGGTCATTATTCAGGTGATCATCTGTATGTGATAGTAGTGAGCAAGTAGAACTGGAGAAGAAAATTTTATGAAGATAAGGGAGCTACTAAAGACTTCTGGGACCTAGGAAACAAGAAGACATTTTGTTCCCCAGAAGGAGGAGCATGTAGTAGCTGCAAACTGCCTAGGAAAAAGGCAGGTCAGAGAAACCAACTTATCTGCCACACAGAGCAAGTAGGCAAATGGGCACTTAAACATTTTTAAAAGATGGAAATGTTCTAAATAAAAAGTAAACTACAAAATAATCTGTTATTTTGAAAACTAGTGAAGAATATAGACAGAATTCAGTGGAATACTTTGAAAATATTAGAAATATTTGTTTTTATGATGTAACAAGCATTTATTCTCTTTGTGTTTTCCTTCCTATCAGCCTGTTCGGTCCTTGGAGTTGCACAGCTGGATTCTGTGATCATTGCTTCACCTCCTATTGAAGATGGAGTTAATCTTTCCTTGGAGCATTTACAGCCTTACTGGGAGGAATTAGAAAACTTAGTTCAGAGCAAAAAGATTGTTGCCATAGGTACCTCTGATCTAGACAAAACACAGTTGGAACAGCTGTATCAGTGGGCACAGGTAAGGGATGGCAGGATCATAAGCACTCTGGGAAGAACCTGCCCTTTTCAGTCTTTGCTGCATGCTGTTGAGCATCGTGCACATAGTGGCCGCCCCTGCAGGGGACTTTTCCACATGTGGGAGTTTTGTTTTGTTTCTGCAGGAGTTTTGAGGCAGGTTTTATCTAAATCATTTGGGGTTTTTGTTTGTTTTTATTTAAATATATCTCTGATTTAACTGAATGTTAATCCTAGTTAAAATGAGTGACAAAAATACTAGAAAAATGTGTGTTAAAACATTTATAGCCAAATGAGTTAAGGCCATTTCCTCCGGTTGTACTTACGTGCTAAAAACAATAGTACCTAAAAAAAAAATGAAGGTTTTTCTTTAGGTACTATTAGACCAGGCTCTAATTTCCTAAGTAAGGGAATATTATGTATAACAAATATTTTTCTGTTATTCTAATAGATGTGTAAGACTCTCAGTTCATACAAGTTGATAGGGAGTGAGTGTCATAAATTAATTATTCCCACTCTCAAGTCTAATAACCTACAGAATTATTAGGAAAATCACTTACTAGCATTTTACCTTTACTCTCAGTATTTTTCTTTATTCCTTTTCCTTCTTCTTCAGCCTTCTCCTTTTCAGAGCTTTCATAGTTTCTTGTGGACAGGAAGACCCTAGAGAAAGTATTTCCCCTTCTCCCTTTGACTTGATGATAGCCGGAATGTGATCAAGAAACTTCTAGAGAGACTTAGATGATTCAGAATGCAAATTAACCAGTGCAGCTACTGGAAGCTATCAGTTCTTCTCTTTCAAAATGTGTCTGATTAATAGCCACATTTTACACTTTAACATTAAATGTATTTACTTGCATTTGATCCTCTACCTTTAAGACCTATTCCCTCTGTAGCTGAAACCATCACACTTAACAAACTAACAAAAATCATGTTTGTTTTCTAGGCAGATGTACTAGATTGTTAAATGGTTCTAACAGGGGACTTTTTAATAGTGTAATACAGGCCGGGTGTGGTGGCTCACACCTGTAATCCTAGCACTTTGGGAGGCCAAGGCAGGTGATCACCTGAGGTCAGGAGTTTGAGGCCAGCCTGATCAACATGGTGAAACCTCGTCTCTACTAAAAATACAAGCTGGGTGTGGTGGTAGGTGCCTGTAATCCCAGCAACTCAGGAGGCTGAGGCAGGAAAATTGCTTGAACCCAGGAGGTGGAGGTTGCAGTGAGCGGAGATTGCACCACTGCACTCCAGCCTGGGTGACAGAGCAAGACTCCATTTCAAAAAAAAAAAAAAAAAGTGTTGTACTGTGTTGGCTTTTTCCTCCTGCTAGAGTTATATTTCCTTTCCCTATTACATAAGGAAAAGGTAATAGGGAATGTCTAACCTTACCACTAATCTAGGTTAGAAAAGCATATATTAATAAAGATATTCATGTAAAAGTATTTTGTAAACTTTAAGCACTGTGGATTGTGATTTTTCATATATTCTAAAATTATGTTATTGCTTATTGCTTTCTACTTTTGGTATTATATTTAATTTAGTAGTGATATCATGATTTTATTTTCACTTCTAGGTAAAACCAAATAGTAACCAAGTTAATCTTGCCTCCTGCTGTGTGATGCCACCAGATTTGACTGCATTTGCTAAACAATTTGACATACAGCTATTGACTCACAATGATCCAAAAGGTAAAACTGATATTTTCATTATAGAGATTGATCATAAACTTTTGTTTATGATCAATAATAGAGATTTTCATGATATTGATTGATCATAAATGTTTTGCAAAAAGGTACTTGTTGATATTTAATTTTAAGTGTGGACAGTGATAAAAATACAGTGTTATCCGAACTGTTCTTAATGATTGGTTCAAAACATATACGCCTTTATTTTATTTTCAGAAAACTTTATTTTTGTCTCTGTACCAATGGTGAAAAAAAGTGAAGGGATCATTTCCTGAATATCTGGTCTTTTGAGGTTCACAAATACTAAACTACACAGAAAAGATCTTTTGAGACGTTCCAAATAGCAATATTTATAATCCTATCTAGTACAGCAAAGACTGACCAGAAGGCCACTTGATTATTTATTTAGTTATTTATTTTTGAGATGAAGTCTTGCTCTGTCACCCAGGCTGGAGTGCAGTGGCATGATCTCAGCTGACTGCAATCTCCACCTCCCAGACTCAAGCTATCCTCCTACCTCAGCCTTCCGAGTAGCTGGGACTAGGTGCATACCACCACACCTAGCTAGTTTTTGTATTTTTTGTAGAGAGAGGGTTTCACATGTCACCCAGCCTGGGCTTGAATTTCTGGACTCAAGAAATTCCCCCACCTTGGCCTCCCAAGGTGCTGGGATTATAGGCGTGAGCCACTGCAGCTGGCCAAAAGGCCACTTTATTTAAGGGGATAAATATCTGAAAAACATGGCACATGTAATTTAATTCAAAACTTAATAAGTATCTTAGGATAGGTAATTAGGTATTTTATTAATGGTTACTATCAAGCCATATGTTTAGTGTTAATCAGAAATATTATTTGATTAATAAAACTGGCTTATCTGCCTTTTGTAGAATAATTTTTTACAACATTTTATAAGATAACTAGAAAGACTTAGAAGAGAATATTGAACATAATTTGCAAAGATAAATGTTTCAGAGAGCCTGTATGTTACTATTTTTGGTTATAAATGAAAAATGTTTGGTTATAAGTGAGAAATATCTTGTGAAAGTTTTACCTCTTGATGACATTTTTATGGAAGTTCTGATTTAATAAATATTAGAGGAAATTATATTTTAGAGATAATTCCCGTCAAAAAAATGTTCAGCTTTTACTTCCATACCTAAAAAAATGACATAATATCAGTGGGTTGATTCAGTTTGCTTATTTTAAGATTGCTGTGAATAATCTGTTAAGACTTTATATTATTTATTAGCAGTCTACTTCATTCTCATTTCTTCACTGTTTCATCAGAGGAGGGGGAGATGGAGAAGAAAAAATTTTAATAGTTATTGTTCCTTGAATGCCAAGCATCAAGCCAAATGCCTCAGAGAGATTATCTATAATCCTCACAACACCTGAACCTATGTATTTTTTTAGTCAGGAAATAGAGCCTCAGAGTGAAAGGAACTAGCCAAGGTCACCCAGCTGGCTTTGAACAAAGTTTGAACTTGACCTAAGTCTTGGATTAGTTTGGACCCTTTTCCACTATATTATCTCTCTGATTTGAAATGTTAGTATTACAGTATTTCAATATGAAAACTTTATCCATTTTCATTTAAATCACACCAGAATAAAATACAGTGACTTTCGCCTCCCCAGTAGAGCTTTCACAACGAAGTAAATTGATTTTTAAGCCATTTTAGTGAAAAATCTAACAAACTGTTATGCTGATTTATTCTGAACTATGAGTGATTTAAATTTTAACTTTCCATATGTTGGCAGGTGTCATGTGTCTGTTTACTTTTTGGAGGCTCTTCTGACAGTAACTGTTACCAACCACTGATGATCCAGCCTGTACTCTCTTCTAGCTTCACTTGAAAAAAAACTCAATCTAGTAGTAAAGGAAATAGGAAAAGATGAAGGTGTCTAGTGTTTTATTTTCACATATCTAAATGTTGCATTTAGAAATTATGGCAAAATATATTGTATATGTATATGAGGAGAGAGATTTAATCCTTTTTTATATTGTATTACTGATATAATTTGATACTTGGTTGTCTTTTTAAATTCTAAGACTTTTGGTGAAAATGCAGGCTTATCCTGCATTTATCATTAATGAACCTTCAGACACTTTATAATGATGCAACTTTTGATTTAATTTGTCATGTTTACTGACTAAAGAGTTCAGCCACAGCTGAATTTTAAAAGTATATAGTTAAATGAATAGCATAGTCTCTGATTTTGTGTCAAATTTTTTATTTTTTTAAACAACCAAATTGTAAAACATTTAACTCTGCTTGTCATTTAAAATAGAATTTTGTTCATAAATTCCCTGAAGGTCTACCCCCGTTCTAAAAATTACTCTTACTCCTCATAATGGGTTTATTTTCCATTACCCTTTGTTCTAGAAGTTGTAGTAACAACTTAACTAGAGAGTAAAATTGTAAAGTAGGTGATCCTGAATTTAGAACTTTCTGTTTTTATTTGCTTCCTGCCTCCCACTTGAATTAAATCCAATCTGTATTACCTCTCTTTCCCTCGGTGGTCCTCTTCTCTGTTAGAGAATCTGATAAACCCGTAGTAATGTTACTTTTCCAAGGAGACATTTGCATTCTATTTATGAAAACTACCATTTACTAGTAGTGTGACCTAGACCAAGTTACCTAGCCTCTATGCCTCAGTTTCCCCCATAAAGGAGATAATAGTATCTATCTCATAGGGTTAGCATGTGGATTAACTGAGTTAATACATGTAAAGTACTCAGAAAAGTACTTACCACATGTAAAGTAATGCCAAACAGCTAACATTAATAAACACTGATTGACTGTTTATTATTAATGTTATTCAGGTATCACAGCAGTTCATTTGGGAATAGGTGTATCCTTTAGCACTCCCAAATCAAACTGTAAAGATGCTTACTTAATCCCTATCTGTAGGTTGCTTCTGACCCCACTGGAATCTTTGCATATTGATTGATTCATTCAATGGACATTTGAGCACCATTTGCCAGGCATTGTTCTGGGTACTAGAGATAAAGAACCAAGTCAGACAAAAACCAGTCCGCGTGGAATTTATATTCTAATGGGAGGAGACAGACTATAAAATAAATGTTACATACGATAAATGGTAGTACATGCTATGGAGATAATTTGGCTGAAGGAGAAAGAGTATCCAAGTTAGTCGTCGTTTTATGTTTTAGGTCTCTCTGCTAAGGGAATATTAATCAGAGACCTGCAGGCAAAGAGTGAGCCATGTGAATATCTGGAAAAAGTGTGTTCAAGGAAGAGGGAGAAACTGATTCAGAGGCCCCAAGGTGTGAATGTGCTTGAGGTTTTCAGGATGCAGTAAGGAGGTGAGGCCAGTGTGGCCAGAGAAGAGGCAGTGAGGAGAGGAGGGTAGGATATGGGATCAGAACAGTCATAGAGAGCTTGGGTATAAACTTGGAATTTGCTGGGCACGGTGGCTCACACCTGTAATCCCAGCACTTTGGGAGGCCAAGGCAGGGGATCACTTGAGTCCAGGAGTTTGAGACCAGCCTGGGAAATATAGTAAGACCTCATATCTACAAAAAATAAAATAATTAAATTAGTTGGCCTTGGTGATGCATGCCTCTAGTCCTAGCTATTCAGGAGAAAGAGGTGGGAAAGCTGATTGAGCCCGATAGTTTGAGACTGCGGTGAGCTATGATTGTGCCACTACACTCCAGCCTGGGTGACAGAGTGAGACATTGTCTCAAAAAAAAAAAAAAAAGTATTGGCACTGCGGCACTCTAAAATTATCAGCTGCTGGTGCTGGTGGAAGTGTAAACTATAGCCTTTCCTGTAGAGCAGTTGGCAATATACTGTGTATCTAGCTTTAAGAATGTACTTGTACTTTGGCCCTTCACTCCATAGCCAGGCATGCATTTTAAAATGTTCATCATCTGGCATCACTGTGATACCTGGAGGACATTGTTTCTTCCATATTTGGAGATAAATTTATGTCTTGATTGTTTTTTTATAAGATATAGTTGATAAAAATTTATTTAAATGGTCTTGCAATGATATGTATTCAGATGCTTAAAGCATTGTTGGTATACATATTTCTATTTTTAGAAAGGGTTTTTATGGATCAGTGCCCCAGTTGTCATCAGAGCCATTGGTGTTTTCATTGTTTAAAATATCGTCTGTAAAATGGGCATTTTTTATTTAAAAAAAAAGCCATTATTTATGTGTATATGGCTTTTTTTTGGCATTTCTGATAATTGTATTATATAAAGAAAGTCTATACATTGGATAACATTATGTATATTTAAACTTACAGACTTATTTGTAATGCAAACCACCATTTTAATGTACTGTAATTAGTATGGTTATAATATATACAGTCTTTACCTCTTCCCATCACACAACTTTGTGTGTGTGTAATAAGCCAATTTTGGTTTGAAAATATTTTTTGAGGCCAGGCTCATGCCTGTAATCCCAGCACTTTAGGAGAACGAGGTGGGTGGATCACCTGAGGTCAGGAGTTCGAGAACAGCCTGACCAACATGGTGAACCCCATCTCTACTAAAATACAAAATTAGCCAGGCATGGTGGCACGCGCCTGTAATCCCAGTTACTTCGGAGGCTGAGGCAAGAGAATTACTTGAACCCAGGAGGCAGAAGTTTCAGTGAGCCAAGATTGCGCCATTGCATTCCAGCCTGGGCAACAGAGTGAGATACCGTCTCAAAAAAAAAAGAAAAGAAAATATTTTTTGAAAAAGAATATTTATTTTGGCCTTATTCTTATTAGCAAAATATTAGGAAAAAAACTAAATGTTTTGACCAATGATAAGGAGATATATAAATTATGATATCTAATATAGTATTGGGGAAATTATTAAAAATTATGTTTTCACAGATTATTACATGGGAAAATATTCACAATATAAGTGGAAAAAGTAAATAAGGCTATTGTAACTACAGTATGATTTCTAGTTTTGTAAGATATGGATATATATATACAAACACAGATACAGATATAAGATATGGAGATATATATTCAAGATATGGATGGAGATATATATGAAGATATATACCCATATACGCCAAAAAAGTTGTAAGGAAATACATGACAATGGTATCATCTCCAATTGATAGGATTATCAGTGACTTTTTTTTTTTTTTCTTTAAACCCTGACTATACATTAGAATCACCTGGAGATCTTTAAAACCTGCGGATGTTTAGGCTCCACTCCCCAAAAGTTATGAATTAAATAGGCTGGGGTACAAGTGTAGATACTTTTTAAATAACTGCCTGGGAGTTTCTAATATTCTGGTTCAGCTTCATAGCACACACATGAAGGATAAGCATATTTTATATTAAATTTTGAGGTGTTTCTTTATTATTAACTGCCTACCTGCATAGTAAAGTACTTTTGTTTTCCAATTAACATGCTGGAGTTTTGTTTGTTGTTGTTTCTTTCAGAACTGCTTTCTGAAGCAAGTTTCCAAGAAGCTCTTCAGGAAAGCATTCCTGACATTCAAGCACAGGAGTGGGTGCCACTGTGGCTACTGCGATATTCAGTCATTGTGAAAAGTAGAGGAATTATCAAATCAAAAGGCTACATTTTACAAGCTAAAAGAAGGGGTTCTTAACTGACTCAGGAGCATAACTTACTGACCTGTAATTTCCTTGAATATAAGATAAAATTGGGATGTGTAAAAATCTAGTTATTGCCTGTAAATGGTGTCATTGAGGCAGATATCCTTTTGTCATATTTGACAGTATGTTGTCTGTCAAGTTTTGAATACTTCTTTTGCCTCCCTATCAATCCATTCTCATGAACCACTGTATTGGTTTCCTTAAACTATTGTTTTCTAATTGAAATTGTCTATAAAGAAAATATTTGCAATATATTTTTCCTTTATTTTTATGACTAATATAAATCAAGAAAATTTGTTGTTAGATATATTTTGGCCTAGTTATCAGGGTAATGTATATACATATTTTTTATTTCCAAAAAAATTCATTAATTGCTTCTTAACTCTTACTATAAGCAATTTAATTACAATTGTTAAAACTGAAATACTGGAAGAAGATACTTTTCCTGTTATCGATAAACTACATCTCAGAGTAACTGGAGTAGCTGGGATTTACTAGTAGTGTAAATAAAATTCACTCTTCAATACATGAATGGAAGCTTAAATTTTTTTTATGTGTTCTTGCATATAGTATAGCTGTAAAGATTTAACCATGTATTCTTGTGCCATATTCTATTACTTATAAAAAAAAAAAAAGTAAATCTGAAAAGGAGAGGAGAAACTTTGAAATTATTGTTTGGGGGTTTTATAAAAGCAACTACTATCATCTCCAGATTCTTTTAAATTATTGATCCATCCTTAGTATATATTGCTACTCATTCAAGAATCTTCAATAAGTGACTGGGCCCAGTGGCTCACGCCTGTAATCTCAGCACTTTGGGAGGCCGAGGTGGGTGGATCACCTGAGGTCAGGCGTTTGAGACCAGCCTGGCTAACATGGTGAAATCCCATCTCTACTAAAAATAGAAAAATTAGCTGGGCATAATGGCGGGCACCTATATACTCAGGAGGCTGAGGCAGGAGAATCACTTGAACCAGGAGACCGAGGTTGCAGTGAGCAGAGATCGCGCCATTGTACTCCAGCCTGGGTGACAAGAATGAAACTCCGTCTCAAAAAAAAAAAAAAATCTTCAATAAGTATTGAGTACTTACCATGTGTTGGGATACTGTGGGCTCTGGAGAGACATTATCTACTTAAACAACTTTGAGATACAGTTTTAACTATTTTAAAGCCGAATAATATAATTAAAATTTTATAGCTTAAAAGAGACTAAGTCATTTCGTATAATTCCTCATTAGTTTAAAAACCACAAAATTGCAAATAAATAAGCTATAACCTTTGATATACACTATAGGTCTCCTTAATTTTATAAACTGGTATCTGTAACCTGAATAGTTTGAAAACTTCTTTAAAAATCTCTTGTGTCTCAGTATTTTTAAACCATGGGCCTAAATAAAACTAATCTTGCTCAAGTTTTCTCAACCTAGGGAAAAGAACTATGGTTCCATATTCAAAATAAATATAACAGACCTTTTTCCTAAGTAAGATTTTGTGGTTTACTGATTGGATAATTTGATCATTAAAATTATGTGAAATCTGGCCGGGCACAGCTCACACATGTAATCCCAACACTTTGGGAGGCCAAGGCGGGTGGATCAC